TGGTGGCAGAGTGGTGAAAAGCGAATGCTTGCATGGTGTGAGATGTATGTGCGTGAAGAGCTGCTATAGCAAGTCCTTTGGGTCCAAGTCTATTGGAGAGGCTTTGCCTAGAGGATGCAGTTTTAGCACAGCACTTCCACTGCCTGCATAAGCTTGTGCTTCCCTGGGCCCTCGCTGCAATTTGCACCTCACCTGTTTCTGTAAATACAGTGGGACTCCCCAGGGCTTGGAATGGGCCTTTTCCTTGCCTCCTTGGTCGATCTCAGAGGTTCATGAAGGCTTTTCCTGCCCTGCACAGCCCTTTCCTAACACAGGTAAGTGCTGGGCTAGGAGCTGGTGGCAGCTGGAGCAAAGGCCCGCCCCCCCAGCCCCTCTGCTCCTGCTGTATCAGGCACCATGGACACCTGCAGGGGGTGGAGATGCTGCTGGAGGTTTGCTTGCCCACTGCTCATGTTTGTGCTTGAGCCATTAGTTCTGAGCACCCAATACCCTGTCCCTTCCCATTTGTTGTCCATAACAGTTTTTCTGTCTGTCCCCAATTTTTCTGCCTCCCTCCCCCAGCTGGGACACTGATGTGCCCAGCATCCCTCCCCCTGGGGAAAACCGGTGAGGGCAGATCCATGGCCAGTAGAGAAAAAAAACTCGGGTGGCCTTCTGCAAGGAGCTGTATGGGCACTCCTCAACACACACCTGCCTCCAGCCCACCCTGGTTAAGCAGACACTAGCTGTGACCCTCCCCAACTTCAAGCCAGTCCAACTGTCTTTTTTTTTTTTTTTGGTTAATGCTTTAGGTTAACTTCCTCATGCTGAGGACAATTACGTATTTCCTTTCTACTTGCTCTTAGCTGCCTGCTGAGTAATTTTACAGTCTATGCCAAAGAAAAGAGAGGAACCTGCAGCAACCCTCTGGTTAAGCAGACACTAGCTGTGACCCTCCCCAACTTCAAGCCAGTCCAACTGTCTTTTTTTTTTTTTTTGGTTAATGCTTTAGGTTAACTTCCTCATGCTGAGGACAATTACGTATTTCCTTTCTACTTGCTCTTAGCTGCCTGCTGAGTAATTTTACAGTCTATGCCAAAGAAAAGAGAGGAACCTGCAGCAACCCTTAATTGCCGTTTGGCTCAGACTTTGTCCTTGCCCTCCCTCCTGCACCAGCCTCATTTGCCACCCCTCAGGGTCAAGCCAGGCTCTGCTCATGCCCATGATAAAGCCAAGGATGGCCAGATGCCCAGGGATGGCCTGGAGGTCACCGAGGGATGGACTGAGCACACAGCCGTGGTCTGTCCCAGACTTGGACTACTAGAAGTCAAAGGCCAAAGGAAGTTGGGTTTTTAAGATTAAGTCTTGTTTTCATCATTGCTCCATGCAGTTTTTGCATCCCAGGGCCTGCCTGCTCAATGACAAGGTAAAAACTGCTGACCCTAGAGTTAGTGTGTCAGGCTGGAAAATAAGGATTTGCCATAAGAATACATAGAACAGCAGCTACAACACTAGCTTTTATCTACTAGCTGTGCATCATTCCCACCAGCAACTTCACCTGCAAAACACCCAAAACAGTCACAGCAGTTTTGATATAATTTATTTGTCTTGGTCTTTTTTTTTTCCTTCTTGCATAGGCATAAATTACAATCTGTTGATTAAAAAATAAAATGAACAAAACAGTGCAGCATTTGCAACAGGCTACAGCATCAAATACAAACTCCTCTCCTGCCTGTAACCATCTGTTTCTGCAGGGCTAATTTGTAACACATGTGCAGGGCAAACCGAGAAGGAGGAAGAATAGAGGAGGAAAATGGAGTAAATAAGAGAAATCTGCTCTGACAGCTGTTTCACATTTCTCCTGCCTCACCAAGCTCATCTTCTGTATCAGCACTAAGACTAAATACCCCTGGGCAGAGATGCACATGCTGAAGCAGCAGTTTTATGTGCCCTCTTTTCCTTTGCAGAAATCCTGCAAGCTGCTGCTGGTGAGAGGCAGCTGGCCAGGCACTCAGTACAGGTGCTCAGCCTGCAGCCCAGCACCACTGCAGAATTTGGGGGCTGAAAGAAACACACATAGCCTCAGCATGCCTTCCTGCAGATCCTCACACAGGCAGCATAGCAAGGCCTCTAAAACCAGCACTAGCCCCTCGAGAAGAGCATAAAGTCCCACGGTGACCTCTCACTGCTGTCTCCAGGGGGTTTCACCTCAGAACAGCAGAGACTTGCATCTCCAAAGGACAGGGCAAGCTTGCCCTATAAAGCCAAATGCTCCCTACCACAGAGCCAGCAGTTAACACCCCCTTGGAAGGAGCAGAGACCCTGCTCCAACTCCATTCTCAGGAAAAGAGGTCCCCTTTCCCCCCCTCTCACCAGCATGCCCAATTTACCACAAAATAATTTTTTCTTGGGCAAAGACCTTGTCTGCCCTGACAGCCCAACCCGGAGGCCAGAATGGACATAGGAAAAGGGGTTTTCCAGCCTCGTGGTTACGGCATTTGCTCTAGCAGCCAGAGAACCCCTGGGGAAGGCAGAGAGCTTCATCTCTGCTCTCTTTATCATTCAATTAACTACAGGAGCTGCTCTGCCGAGCCCGGGACAAGTCTAGACATTCATAAAAGTACAACTCCATGTGCACAGGGCACTCACGGACATGACTCCAAGGCAAGCGGGCAGCTGTAGACAAGTTTAAAATAACTTTGGCTGCGGACGCCAAGAATTAAGACTACGCTCAATATAGGAGAGAATTTAGCGTCACTGGATTTGGCTGCAGGTCTGCTTTCTCCCAGCAGCAGGGCCTCCCAGCTCTGCAGGGGACTCCACAGGGTAATTTTAACCTGTTGGAGATGGGTCTGTGCCCTTCGGTCTCTCTTCCCTTGCTTGGAGAGAGGAGACCCCCTCCAGAAGGGACATGCTGCCATCACCATCCCCTCAGGCTGGCACGAGGGGCTCAGCACCTCTGCCCAACACACATCAGGGCATGCTGAAGGGAGATGCTTCTTCAGCCCCTTCCCCTCCTCTATGCCCCCCACCCTACAGTGCTTCAACCAAAGATGACCAGAGTGGGAATCAATTCATGGTGCTCCCAGTGCTAGGGGAAGGTTGATGACAGCATCAGAGAGGGCTGAAATGCTAAACATGAGGCCCTTTAGCTTTTCTTTCAACAAAACCCAAAACAAATGTGGAGGCTGTAAACACCATCCAAGAACATAAGCCAAACTAAGTGTGATGCAGGCAGCCAGGGGGTGGAATGGCCAGATGGCCCTGGCACTCGTCAGCCTGGGGAAGGTCCCCATGCATCCTTCCTGCAGTCCCCTGCCACGGCTCTCCCCCCTCACACCACAGGTACAGGCAGGATTTACGTGCCCACTGCAGGCAGAACTCCCCGTCCTGCTCCAGCACGGTCCTCTGCAGCCAGGGCTCAGGGAACCGAGCAATGCTGGTGAGGAGAAGCCAGGAGGGAAAGGGAGCCCTTCCAAGAGAAAGGAGGTCAGCCTGCCCCAGCCACCCGCCATCGGGGACCGGGAGGTGACGGAGGCAGCCCTGAGCATCGCAGGTGGGGCAGAGGCCCTGCTGCTCCCCAAGGTGCAGAAGCACGCTGGCACCTGCAAGCCCTGGGGATTGCCCCACCTCCCACCCAAGAGACCGCCCAGGCACAGAGAGAGTCGTGCAGAGCACTGGGGCAGCAGCGCCCGCTCGCTGCGAACAGTCGCCTATATACAGATGCAGCCACAGGCAAGAGGCCACAGCCATGTGTTGCAGTCTCGGAGGACGCCTCCGGAGCAAGGAGGGCAGGAGTGCCTCCGGCACCCCACCAAGCAGCATTCCACAGAAGACCTTGTCTCCCAGGGCCAGCTACCAAGCCACTACGCACCCTTCTTTTC